TGAAGCAGAGCCCACACCCGACGACTACAACATGCTATATTCCGCTATTAGGAATATCGATGTTAGGGAAATAACCGTAGTAGCACGCAAACTGCGCGCGGCGAAGTCCCCCCAAGAACGCCTTCTCGTTCTTGCAGAACACAATAACCTTCTGTTAGCGTTGTAAGTTAAGTTAACATAATTAACTTAACTTCAATGACTGAGCAAATCGCTTTACCTAAATCTCACGGTCGTATCAAACCTAAGGGTTTATCGCTTGTAACATTTAATATTCGCGGCTTGCGAAATAACCTCCCAGAGCTTAAGCTCTTTCTTCGGAATCGTGAAGTCGATTTCCTCCTCCTACAGGAAACTAATCTCAAAGCTAAGGACACTAGAGGCCTTTCTATTAAAAACTTCTCTCTTCTTCGTAACGACAGACCCGACCGCCGAGGCGGCGGAACGGCCATCTATTACAAGAAGACACTTCATTGCTCGCCCATTTCTACTCCGCAGCTTACCAACATGGAAGCCACGGTATGCAGGCTAGCTATGACTGGACATCAGTCCATCCTCATAGCCTCCTGTTACATCCCTTCAGGAACCTATCCCCCCTATCTAGGCAATTCAGTCATTATGTTTGGAGATTTTAACTCCAAGCATACTGAATGGACATGCCGCACTACGTCCCCTAGTGGCAAGATACTGCTCGATATCACGCAGTCTCTTGATATTACCGTCCATAGTCCTCTCGGTGTTACTCACTTTCCCGATAACACTGATCACGCCCCCCGATGTGTTAGATTTTGCGTTACTCCAAGGAGTTTCTCTCAACCTCAGAGCAATCGAGACACTAGACGATCTAGGAACAGATCACCTACCGGTCTCCCTCATTCTTGGCCATCAGCCACCTCCCCCAACACACACGAAAACCTTCACTAACTGGAAGGGATTCAAGGAGTCCCTAGCTAAAGCTTTGGACTCACAGGACTCTACCATCTCCCTACCGTCGGACTTAGATAGTCCCGAAAAAATCGACACCGCGGTCGATTCACTCTCCACTCTAATTAAATCCTCCCTTAAGGAGAACGAAAGGGTCGTCCCGGTTGCTAACAATAGTGGGCTTCCCCTACATATTAGCAACCTATTAAAAGCCAAAAAAGCTGCTTTCCGGAGAGCAACAAAATATCCCACCCCCGAATATAGGCGCGCGGCCAATCGTCTTCAACGAGAACTCCGCTTCCGCCTCTCTGAATTTCGAGAACTCGAAAAGAGTAAGCTCATGGAGAATATCTCTCCATCTCACACAGCGTACTATCAGATGGCTAGAGCCCTCCGCATAGACGCTATCACCCACACTCCCCCCTCTCCCGTCCCGACGGCACGGTTGCCTTCGAGGACGAGGAAAAGACTGAGTGCTTTGCAGATAGCATTGCCGCTCAATGCTCTCCTAGTTCTCAACCCGTCGACCGCTCTCACGTCCAGGCAGTGGAGGATGAGGTCCGCCGCCGGAACTCACCCCCTACGGCCTCCGAACCTATCTCTGTGTCCAATGATGAGATTTCATCCCTCATCAAAGGACTTAAGCCCAAAAAGGCTCCGGGCGCGGATGGCATCTCCAACCAAGCCCTAAAACACTTTCCTGAGCAGGTGTTAACCTTTTTTATCTATTATCTTCAACGCCTGCTTCAACCTCAGTTATTTCCCCACTACGTGGAAAGAGGCTACTGTGATTGGAATTCCCAAGCCAGGCAAGCCTCTCAACCTCCCCCTCCAGCCATCGCCCTATTAGCCTCCTCAAGGCAATGGGCAAGCTCTTCGAAAGAGTCATCCAAACGCGTATGAGGCGCTATCTGTTTCCCACAGACGGTGACCCTCTTATCATTCCCAATCAATTCGGTTTCCGAGCCAAACACTCATGTCCCCAACAAGTTCACCGCATTGTGGAATATATCCTCAGCGGTTTCAATCCTCGTCGTCATAAGACCATCGCGGTCTTTTTCGATATAGCTAAAGCTTTCGATAGAGTCTGGCACACAGGCCTCATCTACAAGCTCTACAAAATAGGTCTCCCCCGATCGTCTAGTTCGTCTCGTGGCCTCCTATTTAAAACATCGTACCTTTCGTTTTAGACACGAAGGCACGTTTTCTTCACAGCGAACTATCAAGGCTGGTGTCCCTCAGGGCTCAGTACTTGCTCCTCTGCTGTACATCCTGTTCACCAACGACATTCCCATCCCGTCGAAAGGTGTTCAACTCTCCCTCTTCGCAGACGACACTGTCATCTACTGCAAAGGTGTCTCACTACCCTTCATACGGAACAAGATCCAAAAGTCAGTTGATGACCTAGGAGCTTGGTTCAAAAAATGGCGCATCGATGTGAACCCGGAGAAGAGCTCCGCCGTTCACTTCGATTATAAACGACGCCGTCTCAAAAACACTCCACCAATACGTATGCTAGGGACCCCTGTTCCCTGGCATACGTCCGCCAAATATTTAGGTGTCACTCTAGACACAGGGCTCACTTTCAAGCCCCACGTCAAAAGAGTAACCCGTCACGCACGATTTTATCTGAGTAGGCTCAACAGTATGTTGGGCCGACACAGTAAAATGTCCCTTCGAAACAAGCGTACCCTTTACAATGTCTGTATACGACCAGTCATGTCCTACGCGGGCCCCGTCTTTGCCCACGCAAACCCTAATATTTTAAATGAACTCCAAATAGTTCAGAACCTCTTCTGTCGTCGAGCTGCGAACGCACCTTGGTACGTCCGTAATGCCGACCTTCATCGGGACTTAGACCTCCCAACAATTCAACAATTTTTTAAAAAACTCTCTGAGAACTTCTTCAAAGCCTCAGAGTCGCACCCAAACCATTTAATTCGTGAGGCAGCTGCTTGTGCAGCCCCACCCCCTCTCGCTATCGTGTCCGCAGGCCGAGAAACTCTCTCTCGGACCCGCCTAATAAACTGTCAAACGACCTGAACTGTCTCTGGCGGCTCAGGCCAACTCTAATTAAATTAAATTATTGTAATAACTAACATTAATTGCCTTCGTAGGCACTCCCTCAGCGGCACTTAGCCGCCTGCGCCCTCTTTTCCCAAAAGAGGGTCGCTCATGATAAGGCACAATACAGCTTGATCAGCCGGCTGCCTGTCCCCAAAGGCTGTTTTTAGAGGGTATCACTTAGGGTCCCCGGTAGGACAGTGAGCCCCTCATAACCACGATAGACCGGCTATCGTGGTATGCGTAATGCATTTTCCGCCTCCCTACGTATAGGGTAGCCCTTTAATTGCTTCGGGCGCAAAAAAAACCGAACATTATCTACTCCTAACCACAACTGTGTAGAAGAGATGTGGCTAGCCCTGCATATAAACTCAAAAAAAATTGTGATAGGCACGGCTTACCGCCCACTATGGCTTAGCGTTGAATTATTTTTTGATGCTATTACTGACAGCCTTAGCACATTTTCGCACAGTTATGTTCTGATTTTGGGAGATTTTAGTATTCACTTTGAATATTCAACTAACTGGAGAGAATTTTGGCTAGTTTTTGAAAGACTGGTCAAACTCAGATTTTAAGTCAAATTTAATCAAAAAGTTATGGGTACTTTCCACGTTGTGTTTATACCGACAAATGAAAACATTAATGCGCCAATAGCTTCATCGTAATTATCGGATATAAAATCATACCCGTAATCGATATATCCATAATGCCTTCCGCTGCTAGCATAGTATTCCGTCAATTGCCTAAATTTCATTTCATCCATTACCAAGGTTCAAGAATTTTTATAAGGGTTACTCTCCACTGTCAATTTTAATGCTCGAAAACACAAATGAATCCCTGTGCCTCACCAACTCGTCTCGTTTATAGTAAGATAGGCGTATAGGCGTACCAGAAGTGGAATATGAATAGGCCGGGATGATATTTAACAAAAAACCTATAAAACAAACCCGGTTAAATACATTTTTTAGAAATCTTGTACGTTTCCAATCTGAAAACTTATATATAAAATAGGAAAGGATAATTATATGACATATGTACAGTATCTTTCATATTGTCACATTTTATTTAACGTTCATTTTGATCGATATCAATAAATTATTACGGTACAACAAATATTAATGCACACATTAACAACCTAAGACAATCAGTTGCCAATCAAACAAAGATCTGCCGTATTTTCACGCCGTCTACTAGATACCGTATTTTTATAAATACAGTATACAATAAAATTTCATTTTATAATGAACTCTACTTTTAGTATTATTATCGTCTTGTCTGCCGTCACGTTAATAGCTACTCCGTAATTTTTAACATAATTAAATATTTCTAGTGGCCTAGACAGGTTAAAAACTCAACCAAAATGTAATAAATTGTTTAAATTTCATGTGACATTGATGGTGAACTGTTTCAACTTTGTTTATGGACGTAATATTGAAAAAAACATTATACGGTATTGTTGGTATTGAGTGAATTCACAAGAATTGAGTGAATAAAATTCAAGTTAAAATTACTTAAAAGTGTACTATCGTGAAATCGACTATTGTAATAAGTGTATAAAAAACGTTTTCTACTTAAATCAATAAACTAAGTGAAATAGTGATTAATGTAAATTAATAACTTTTTTAATAACTACCGCCAAATCTTTCGAATAAGTTAATCATATACGGACCATTTGTTTCGTCAGTTACTATTAACTCAACTTGGCTCATATGTCGCAACGTATGCTATAACGCATGACTCAAGTTCCGAACCCAGTGAAAAAAAATTTTATAATTAATTTTATCTATAATTTATTTTAGGCTTTATATAACTAAACTAATATTTTCCTATTTTGTGAGTGGAATTGTTGCATCTAGACAGTTACAAACGATTGATTTTCTTATTAAGTTTCGATAAAACTTTATTTTTTTTATTTTTTCCTTTTTCTCGAACTGTCAGTGAACTTTATTTTAGTGCTTAGAAAATTTGTATTTTTTTTATTTTTTTATTCTGATTATTGGTAAAGAACTAAAAAAATGGCTGATCAAATATGTAAGGAATGTAATGACACAATCATTGATAGAGAGTTTTTGATTTGTTCCGACTGCGATGAATACTATCATTTGAAGTGTACAAATATTTCACCGAAATTATATTATTTAAAAAGTCCAATTAAAAGAAGACGATTCCAGTGTAAGTCATGTGTAGAAAAATTACAAGATAATGACTGCGTGCTAAATCAGTCCTCACCTCTAACTGAGAGCTTAGAAACGGCTACCAGAAATGTTACTACACGTAAGAAAATAATTACAAATAAAGTAGCCTCTAATTCATTTGGCTCCTTATCTGTTGATGAGAACTTTGAATACTCTTCCTTAACATCAACTCCAACACACGTGGACATAGGTGGAAGTAATCTGACTGATAAAAATACCAAGGATTGTATAAGCAAATTAAATGAAAAATTATGTGAACTACAAAGAAAACTTGATAATGCAGACAAGGAGATTGAAGACCTGATATCAGAAAACTATATATTAAAAAAATAAATAGCCGAATTTAAGTCGAAACCTGAGAGATGTGTGTGTATATTATCATCTAAGATCAAGAACGTATCAAATACAAATAGATCACAAAGCATTAACGAAGTAGAATCAAACCTATTTAACAGTGCTGAAAATAAGGAAACCCCTAATAATATTGAAAGTAAAAACCATAATTCAACAATAAATCAAAAAGAACAACACAAGGTATGCGTAAATGAATATAAAAAAATTAATGGGGAAAAAAGTAAGCAATGCAGAACTGATGAACCGATACCCTTGAAGCACACTAGAAAGCTATGCATAATCAGCAGCAACAACAAAAATAATATAAAAGGCATTGCACAAGACTATTTCTCTAAAGATTTTGAATTCTGTCATTATATAAAAACAAATGCTGGTATATTAGATTTAATTCAAGGCCTTGACAAAAAACTGATTAATTACACTTTACAAGATTATTGTGTTGTTCTAATTGGAGATTATGACTTCAGGATGTCACAAGATTATAACAGACTAGTGGAGAGCTTAAGGCAAACCATACAATGCATCACTCACACTAATATAGTAATTTGCATACCAACTTTTAGATGTGCTAAAGATACAAATATTTTTAATAGAAGAATCGAAAACTTTAACTATTTGCTGTACAAAAATATTAAAGCCCATGAGTATGCATATTTACTAGATTCAAATTTGAATCTCACCTATGATTATCACATGTTCTCTGGTAAACTTGGTGCCGTGAATAATAAAGGCATGAGAGCTTTGTTTGCAGATCTTAAGAGTTTACTATCAGAAATAGAGAGTTCGTATATGTCTATAGACTACCATAAATCCAACAAAGGGACGCAAACTGATAAATTAGTTCAGCAAAGTGTTAGTGAAAACGTTTCGGATGTAAAATTATCTAATGATGACTTTTTTCGAAAACAAGAAAAGTAAATTTCTGTATGTAATGCATCAAAATATATGTGGTGCGCTAGGTAAAATGGATAATATTGAGATCATATTGGAGGATTTTTCAAGTGAAGGAAACTGTATTGACGTTATTTGTCTAACTGAACATTTTGTCAAGAATGGACATGAAACCAATTTAGTATGTAATTACTACAATCTAGCTGCCATATACTGCAGAAAAAATTCAAGAGGATGTGCATGTATTATGACTCGAAGAGGACTTAATTACCGAGAATTACCTGAAATTACAAGAAACTCTCTCAGTACCGTATTTGAATGTTGTGCTATTGAACTTGTGTCTTTTAATGTTATAATTATTTGTTTATACAGAACTCCTAATTATAGTAATATCTCTAACTTTTTCGAAAAACTTGAAACTTTGTTGGATAGGGTTAGCAAATATAGAACTAAGAAAACTATAATATGTGGTGATTTTAATATTGATGTTTTAAAAAATTGCATGACAACTAATGTATTTATTAATCTTTTGTCGAGTTATAACTTTAAAATTGAATTCATGGATGCGACTAGATTACAAAGTGGAACGTGTATCGATAATATCATTCATAATTGCCGTGGGTGTAAAAGCAAAATTTTACATTTAGGATTATCCGACCACACTGCTCAAGTGTTGCAATATCCTATCACAATAAATTACTCCTGCTTGCGATACTGGTTTATCAAAAGACGTGACTATAGTATTGAAAATCTAACCAAATTTAGAGAATGCCTGGAAAGCTTATCCTTTTATGATATTTATCAAAGCAATGATGTAAACGAAGCGTACAATTTGTTTTATGAATTGATTAAACTCTTTTATGACTTATGCTTCCCGTTCAACCTAATTAAAGTTTCAGCTCAGCGGAAGCCATTTTGGATTACAAGTGGTATCAAAACATCGTGTAAACGCAAAAGGAAAATGTACTTTCAATTAAAATCTAAAAATGATAAACTTAAATACAATGCTTATACAGCACTTTTAAAAAAAGTTATTAATAAATCACAACGCATTCAAAACAACAATTACATCAACAAGTCTAAAAATATAACAAGATCTACGTGGAAGATAATAAATTCAAATAATTTCACAAAGCCAAAAGAAATTATGAAGAGTGTAACTTATAAAGGGAAAACAATTACTAAACCAGGTGATATTGCAGAAGCTTTTAATGATACATTTATGAATCCTGTACAGAACTGCAAACCAATAAATTACAGAAGTAACATTGAACGTATATCAAATTCATTGTTTATGAATCCAACAACGCCCGATCATATAGTTAAAATAATTAATAGCTTAAAAAATAAAACAAGTGTTGGTCACGATGAAATAACCACTAGAGTATTGAAATTTTGTAATTTTCAGTTTGCTCGGCCGCTTAGTCACATTATCAACTTAACTATAAATAAAGGGATTGTAGTGTTATGCTTACATACATACTTACATATCATTTTACACTATTTTATTTTTATTTTTCCATTCTGTTTTTGATTTTCTACATTCACCTCAAAACTGGATATTTTGCATCACCTTTATTTCCATAGGATCCTGTAATATTTTTAATTCATAAGAACACAATAACAAATCATTTTCACTTCGTATTTTCACGTTATCAGCACTTTTTAAATCGGTGTCAATGGAGTCTACCTTTTTCGATCTTTTATTTAGTTCTCCGTAACTCTACAATTTCGGGTTTCGTGCGCGCTCTTGCGCTACCTTTTTTCCTATATAAATAATATCTCATTTTTCACTTAAATCTTGCCGTTTCTGTATTACGAGCTTAAAACCAAAATTTGACATGTTTTGACATCGTTGTTTATCTGGTTGTCGTGGCAATTTTTATTCAAATATTGTTACCGGCCTGATGTTTTTACTTCAAAAATACTCTTTTCTTCTTGGCCATTTACAAAAATTTGCTTTTAATTTAAATAATTTCAAATAATTTCTCGTTCTTATCCCAGATCCGTCAAAAAGTATAAAAGCCGAAGAATCGGCCGATAGAGGTCCTCACTTCAGCTTTGATACGAGAAGCACCTCTGAAAGGCTTTATCCGCACTGCCTCGGGATCTTGCAAGCCTTCTCCTGAAGTCGTCGCCTAGCCACGCCTACGCCTCCACCTATTAGTGCCCGCGCTATCTTCAGCCGCTGAGCGTGCTTGTCTCAAGCGCTGCGTGTTCCTACTCCAGACGCTGCGTGTCTACTCCGGACGCTGTGTGTGTCTACTCCGGACGTTGTGTTTGCCTACTTCAAGCGCCACGTGTACCTACTCCAGACGCTGCGTGTCTACTCCGGGTGCTGCGTGTATCTGCTCCGGGCGTTGCGTGTGCCTACTCCAAGCGCTGCGTGTACCTTCTCCAGACGCTGCATGTGCTTTCTCCAGATTCTGCGTGTACCTAGAGCAGGCGCTGTGCACCTATCATAGGCATAGCCTGTGCATACTTCGTTGCAGTATCTTTATTTTTGTTATTTTTTTTTTAATAATATTGTAAATCACTATCATCATTACAGCCCATCATCACCTTCATACCTTTTTTTATAAAAGAAACTGTAAATCTTTTCAAATTTTTAAATAATTTATTTTATTTTTGGTTGTTTTGTTGTAGTTAGGTTAGGTTATTTAGTTTTTAATTGTCGCTTCACGACAATTTGGCGCCCGACGTAAAAGTTCTTCTTTTCTTCACCTTAGCTACGCCTTATCCATTTCCTTTTGATTGAATTGCTTTCTCTTTCGTTCTTAACTCTTTATTTACTCATCCTTATCATATCTTCCAAATTCTAAAACAAAACTTCATCTAGTTTTTCAACTTATCTGGATTATATTTAGACCTACATATAACACTTACATTCATCACCTTAATATTTTTATTCTAGAGAACTTAAAGAGGTACTATCTTCCAAATTCTAAAACAAAACTTCATCTAGTTTTTCAACTTATCTGGATTACATTTAGACCTACATATAACACTTCACTTACATTCATCACTTTAATATTTTTATTCTAGAGGTACAATTTTTTATTAAATTTTTATTTCTTAAACTTAACACTTAATTATAACAATGAAACGGGTTATTAAGTACGAATTCCTTAACAAGGCCGAACTCGAATACGAAGTGAAGATTAGATGTGAGGAACCAGCTAATACTGTTTTGCTTCTAAAAAAACAGGTTTTGCGTTTAGTTGTGAATTCTCACCCTGAAGATATTCTGACTTCTCCAATTCCGATCGAGGATGACTTGTCTCAAATTGGTTCTACTTTGACTTACCTGGACTGTAAAATTGAAAAATTTTTACAAGGTGAAACCAAATACTTACGATTAATAGAAACTTTTATTAATCATGTTTTTTACAGATTGGAGCGAATAGATACTGACTTATATCCAGACTTTAAAGCTATTTTCGATACTTTGAAGATGAAATTTGACGCTATTACTAAACAATTCGAATCCTTGACTCCACCTCCAACTGAAAATGACTCTCCATCACTTGACCCTCCTGTTGACCCGATTGTCATGGAACCTCCTCTTGTTTCTCAAACATCTGTTACGATCCATACCCCGTATCCTTCACCACTACCTCAATCTTTTTCTCCAACTAACGTCTTCAAAGATCTGAAAAGACACACGTTCAATGGTAAAAGCTGTCCAAGATCCTTTCTTCAAAAACTTGAAGAATACTGCTTAGCTCGTGGCTTATCCAAAGACTTGTTGATCTCTCAAGCATTTGAAATTTTCACCGACAATGCTCTTCATTGGTTCAGATTTAAATATAATCAGAATCCAAACTTAACTTGGAACGAACTTTCCTCTTTATTAATCAAAGACTTTGGTGGTTTTGATTATGATTATAAACTTCTAGAAGCGATTAGGAACCGAACTCAAGGCCGTGATGAACCTATCGTCATCTATATTTCCATCATGTCTGGAATGTTCACTCGTCTTTCGAAGAAACTTTCTGAAACAGAACAATTGGAGATTATTTTGAGGAATATTCGCCCATGTTATTCAGTCTTCGTAGCTCTAAAAGACATTGACTCTATCGACTCTC